ATAAGTTGCTCTCAACCAGCAGATTTTGAGTTACATCCTACTTATTAGTCCCCAAAAATCCATTGAATTTACCTACATGTTGACTCACCATTCAGCAATTGATTCAATGCCCTACAATGCCCTACACTTCACCCCATTCTCTTTCCCTAAATCCAGCAATTCCTGAAACAATCTCTTCCTTCTCCTTTCCTTTCCATTTTTAGGAAGAGGCTCCAGTACAGAAAGTGTTAAATTCAAAATCTGTTGCAGCTCTCAAAAAAAATTCTTTAGAAGAAATGTTCTGTAGATGTGAGGAGCTGAGGCAATATTAAATGTGGATTTGATATGAATCCCATTCATCACAACAATGCGGGGAGGAGATAGCTCTGGTAACCCCACCGTGCTGCCGGATCATACCACCTTAAATGCACACCACCAGCCTGATCCTCTTTTCCTTCCCTGTCAGGTCCCATACCCTAAAAACATCATCAGGATTAACAATGTTTAACATGAATTAAAGAATCACCAGTGGCAATCTCCATGCCTTCTCATTAAATGAAATGGATATTCTGATTCTAACCTGGGGTGGCCAGTTGTTTCCACAAAGCTACTCTAGGCTTTATCCCAGACTTGAAAGGAGCTAGCTTAACAAAGTGCTGAAGCTTATCTCCAAAATAGGTTGAGTGCCTTGGACAGCGCCTTTCAAGCCAGAAAATGTGGATTCAAGAGTGGATTCACTGACCCACTGACAAGTAAGCCACTGGCTGGCCACCCTATAACCATGGAATCCATGTCCACACAGACATGTACATTCCCTTGGACATGCAGTTGTACTTTTCTGGCTGTGGCATAATGGACAAACTCAGTTCATGGGTACATAAGTGGAGAAATCATTTCACAGGCAGTTGTCATTCTTGGATGGTGTGTAACACTTTGTCAATGTCATCAGTGTACCTTTTCATTCACTGGGATTGAAGAACCAGCTAGTGTCCATTCCCTGTTGCACAATGGGATGATAAGCATGTACACTGAAGGATATGCCAAGTGTGGGGTAGACAACCACTGTGCTACCATGGAAGTGTAGATTTACATTTTGTTATTGTACTGTGCCATCAAGTTGGCTTTGACCTACGGCACCCCTATGAACAGGATACCACCAAGACACCCTGTTATGAATAGCACTGTAAGGTCTCACGGACCCAGGGCGGTGGCTTCCACAACTGAATCAATCCACCCGTAATGTGGTCTCCCTGTTTGTTTGTTTGTTTTTTTTTCTGCCTTCAACTTTACCTAATATTATAGTCTTTTTTCCCCCAGGAAGTCATGCTGTGTGGTGTAATGGCTTGAGTGTCATATTAGGACACTGGAAGACCAGAGTTCAAATCCACACTTGGCCAGGGAAACCTACTGGTTGACCTTGGAGAAGTCTTGCCCTCTCAGCTTCAGAGGAAGGCAATGGCAAACCTCCTCTGACTAAATCTTGCCAAGGAAACCCTGTAATATATTCATCCTAGGGTAGCCATAAATCAGAAACTACTTGAAGACCAACCACAACGATATGTCATCCCATGAGGTGTTCAAAACAGCCTTGGTTTAGACCTTTTGGCTTCTAGTGAGAGTCTTGATTTGTTCTTGGACCCATGTATTCCTCTATTTGGCAGTCTATGTTACCCCAATGTAGAATTTTGGCTCATGGATCCCTGGCCAGACTGCTGTTACTTCCACACATGTATTTTTCCTTACATATGTAGATGTCCTTATGCATGTCCAACAGAGTTCCAACCCAGAGATTATTACAAGAGGCAAAAGGAATGGGGGGGGGAAACTCTAAGTAAAGTATATTTATGTTCTCTGGAGAATCTAAAAAAAGAGACCCTGTTCTTACCCTTACCCACATCCAAGGTATACAAAAGAGAGGTTGATTCCTTATCTGGGGAAAAAATGTAGGTGCATGAGCAAATTAAAAGCAGGGCTTCCATATGAGGAAGAATATGCAACTTTCACCACTCCTCTAAAAAGGAACAATGGATTGCTTTAATTTACAAAGAAAACTGTTTTGCAAAGGTTGGGTAGGAGATGCATCTTCATTTCTCCTCTTATTTGTGAATTAGGTGCTTTTGTCAACAGCTGCAAAGGAAATCACAACTCCCAGATTTACTTTCTGAGCCATTTCCACCAGCAGCTTTTCCCTCTCCTCCCTCCTGACAGTCTCAGTGGGGGGGGGGGGGGAATGGACTTTGAAAGAACAAAATCCAGTTGGTTTGGGTTGGATGTCTTCTAATGGTGTGCATACACATAAGTGTGGCTTACACGTGCATATGTCTCCTTTTAGGAGAAAGATGTTATTATCTAGCTTTTTGCTCCATGTCCAAAACTTTCCTCCTCTGCCACAGCTATCAATCCCCAGAAGGCTCCACTACTGGATAAAATCCACTTGTGAGCATACTCCTATTTCCTTTCTCTCCCAAGCTGAGATCAGCCAGTTCATCAGTGCCTGAATTGCCAGTCTTGGATCTCCAAGAGCATGCCCAAGCTATGAGCCCAATCTTTCAACCATCCATAATAAGTTTTGTCTGCAATCCTAGCCTGGTTTTCTTAATGACCAACAGAACTTCTGTCAGGTCTGGACTGAGTCTCAAATTTATTCACATACCCAGCCTCTCATGTCATCCAGTCAATGGTTCCAGGCTTCTGCATCCTCCTTGGCATGAGCTGTGAAATCACAGCAGGAAGCATTGCAGGGAGACCCAGCCTCAGAACCCTAAGTCACCTCTCTTAACAGTTTCACGGAGATGCTAAAAAGCATAGAAGATGATAATGTGTCTTGCAAAACCTCACAAGCTAATACCCAGTCGTTCCAGCTCTACCTTCTGGAAATATTCAGCCAAAATCAATCAAAACCACCCATGAACTTGTCCTCAAGTTTCCTATAAGCCAAGCAACCCAGAATGATGCCACAAACACCACAGAGAGATCCAGCAGGACCCAGCCAGATGTTGGTTATCCATCAAGCTATCCAAGACTATTCTTTCCCCATAATCATCCCTGAATAAAGCCTAACTCTAACCCTGAACCCAGAGAGCAAGCATGGTGTAGTGGTTTGAGTGCAGAGTTGTAACTCTAGAGACCAGGTTTCAAATCCATATTCAACCATAGAAATTCACTGGGTAACCTTGGGCAAGTCACACACTCTCAGCCACAGCAGGAGGTAATAGGGTCGCCTTAGGTCACCATAAGTTGGGAAAGACTTCAAGGCACACAACAGTAACAACAACTCTGAGCCCTGGACTGGAATGGAGCTACATAAAGAAGAGCACATGTTCTCTGAGATCACTGACAAAGCTCATTGTTTTTTAGCAGCTTCTGCTCAGGATATCCCTTCCAGACACACAATTTTCTGGACAAATGGAGTCAGGCTTTGCATACCAAGTACATCCTGAGCTTGCGGCCCAGGTTCTGCAATGCTTATCTTGCATTCTCTGGAAGGAATGCTTGAGCTGTATGTTCCTGAACAGCAGAGGGGTGAACTAGATGTCCCTTGGTGTCTCTTCTGAGATTCTATGATTCTATAAAAAGCTATATTGCAAATCTATCCTCATTAAGTTTAACTTTGAAACAGCAAAACAAAATCAAAAGTGTGTGAGTGCGTGCGTGCGCACACACACATACACACAAAAAGATGAACAAATTAGCCTAATTTGTGCTGCTTGCCTTCTGGTGGCAAAAGGGCCATTGGGGAAGGACTTTGAATATGTAAACACTGCAAAGGGAGCTAGTGGGCAGGAGGAAGGCTTTCATGTCTGTCAGCTCTGCTCCCTCCAGTTAGCAACTCATAACTCACAACACACACAACACACACACACAGAGACACACACATACCCAGGGCGTTTGAATACTTAAGCATCTCTTTGCAAAGTGTTTATAACTTTTGCATGAAGGTTTCATCAGACAGCACAGCAGCCCCACTCTCCTGGGAAACAGACTGATCTGGAAAGAGACAACTTCCCTTTTACTTTTATTGGGGAAGATTCATCAAAAGAGAAAAAGATCATTTATATGCCTTGGGGGAGAACCAGTCCTGCCTGGCCTCATCCAGGCTTTTGCAGCCTTTAATGATATTTGTCCATCAGGCCAGACAGCTGCGGAGGAACCAAAGGAGAGCGGGATGCTGTAATAACAACGGGATAATATTCTGCGGAAGGCCGTTTCAGACTCAATCCAGGGTGAAATTTGGTTTTGGAAATTCTCTTCTGCAAAATTTGATTTGAAATCAACTTCCCCCCTCTCCTCCTATTTCTCTGGTCTAATCTGCACTGCAGAAATGATGCCATTTGACACTGCTTTAATTGCCATGACTCAGTGCTATGGAATTTGTAGTTTGTCGTGACACCACCAGAGTTCCTAGATAAAGAAGGCTAAATATCTCACAAAACTGCAAATCCCAGCATTGAGCCATGGCGATTAAAATGGTGTCAAATTGGATTATTCCTGCAGTGCAGATTAGACCTCTGAATAATCTTCCAGTTAAGAAAATAAGAAGAGTTTTTCTGGGTCATACCACAATTCAGCATTGTGCACTCATAATGGCAACTCAAGCCATTTGTCCATAGGAAAACCACAAGCTGGTGGCCAGGTCAAGACTATCCAGGGGTGACCCTATCAAGGAGGACAAAATAAAGGCATTTCCCCATTCATACCTCAAACTCTTCTGTCTGATGGCTTTGCATTCCCTTGGTAACTTTGTCTGCCTCTTTTCTTTGGAGGCTTAAACTCTCTTGATCAGCTGAAATTTTAACTTACTCAGTGTTAGAAATCTGAGGGTTGAGAGACAATTTCATCAGGGACAGGCTTCCTATCTAAGGGGGGTAATGACCAAATGTTGCCCTCCCAAGTAGCTAGACCTTTGCAATTAGTCCTGAGATTTCAGGGCCAAAAGTCGAAACCTAGGGAAGAGTCCTTGTGATGTCAACACAAGGTGGAGAATGGCAATGATATCAGCCTATAGTAATTTAAGCATCAGAGCCAGTGTGGTGCAGTGGTTTGAGCGTAAGACTGCAACCCTGAAGACTAGGGTTTGATTCCCTGATCAGCCATAGAAACCCACTGGATGATCTTGGGCTAGTCACATACTCTCAGCCCCAGAAAACTCAGTGACAGGTTTGCCTTAGGGACCCTAAACTTGATAACTGGTAACATTATTAGTTATTGCTTGTGAGATAGAAATTTGAAACTATTGTCCCTAGTTCATCTGCACTGCATTGAGAGAAGACTTCTGAAGCAAAGAGCCTCCTCTGCTTTGTGCATTGTATATTTTGTGCACATTGGTTGGCCAATAATGGTGTGGCCAACATGGCTACCCCTCAATATAGGTCTTCTGCCTTGAAAAATCTTCTTGAAATGGAACAGGTTTCCTTGTTTTTCTCATGTGCACCCAACTCCCTGGACAAGACACCTCTCTCCTTTGCAAAGGTGAGACCTTCAGCTAAGACAGAAGTGTTCCATTTTGCTCCTCACTTCATCCATTCCTTGCATGCAGTATCTCCCAGGGTAACCATCACCACAAAAGCGGCCATGTTAGATCCACTCCGCTTTCCAAAGAGAGAGGTCCGAAGTGACAAGTCTCACTGGGGGCGATAGGTTCAGGGTCAGCCAGTCTCCCACAGGGGGGCAGAAGGGCAATAAAGATGTGCAAATTCTGTCACTTGAAAAAAAAATACAAGGGGGAAAAAGTAATTTGATGACAGTGTGATGTCCACGCTTTTATCCAGCCGACGTATCCGCTCAGGCTGCCTGGTCCTCCTCCGATTTATCCCAGGGCCTCGCGGGCTTACGGGAAAAGCCATTACCACAGGATTAGAGTTCAGTTTGATTCTCATCAAAGGCTCTGGTCACTGCGTATTTGCTTAACACCAGACCTTTCAGGCCCCATCAAATTTAACAAGCCTTGACAGATTTGGGATTAAACACAAAATGCCAGACAAATCCACACTTTCATCGAAGGCTCCTGTGAATGCAGCCGGATAGGCTGGGTTTCTGAACAAGCAAAAATAAAATAAAATAAAATAAGTGAGAACAAAGCTAAAATTAGTTCCCATGCGCATCTCAGATGGGGAGGGAAGGAGTTGTCACCTCAAAGCCAAGCACCGATTTGACTGTGAAAAGCTGTAAAGCATACATACTCGGCGCTCCCCTTCCCCATAAGGTTGGGGGTCTCACTGGGCCCTTTGGCCATCCTTTTCAATCCCATCACCCTCCAATCCATTTTGCAGAAGCATATATGAAATGGCACCTGATAGTGT